AGTCAATTGCTCTGTGCATGCCTAGTTAGGCATGGCTTATTTGTAAAGTACACGGACTTGTAACCCATCTTTTGAGCTGCATGTTCTCTTCGCCGTGTCTTAACGAAACCACCATTTTATGTGAAAGATACCGTAGCTCGATAGATTAATTCTGCATTTTTCTATATCAAATTCATGATTTTGAATTCGAAGGAAAAATATTAGAGATACTTTAAGTTTTACTTAATTAGCACGATATTTAGTCTTGAGCCTTGCTTCTTGAGAAGGAAAAGATGAACTGTTATAAAACTGATGCAGCGTTGTAGGTGTTGGAATTGTGCATCATAATTTGGTAAAGAATAAAAATTCCTCTTTGTTTGTTTGTCTATTCTATTTTATACTCTTTCGTATACTGTGCATCTAATTCAATGTTTGTTTTACTTTCAGATTTAATAACAATTTTGTATTATGGTTGTTATTACTCTCCACACCTTATTCTCAAAAGCACTGAACTATTCTCTACATAGAGTTAGTCTCACTGTCGGTGTGTTAATATCATTTTCTGATTCTTTATTTAATGTTTGAAACAATTTTCTTTGAATCTGCAACCTAGTCTATTTAATACTGGGTTTGTCTACTGCTAATATCTATGCTATGTATCGGACAAAATATCGCAGTAAGAATACTACTTCCACTGTCCGCCCGACTTATTTACACGATGAAATCTTTGTGAAAGCATCAAACACATGTTAGGTTTGTTGAAAGAAAACTATTCTTAAAATAGAGATAATTTCCGACCAAAATAACATGCGTTTGACTTTTTCACAAAGATTTCAGCGTGTAAATAACATCGGGAAGCCAGTGGAAGTAGCATTCTTACTGCGATTTTTTGCGGGCATTATTAATCGATCCTTTTAAATCACTGACTACAATGGTCATCAGTCTCTCACAATTATGCGGAATACTTTATCAAAAAGAGCACAACACAGTATTATACTGTAGAAAATTTCTTTAGTGTAAATTGTACACCTGTGCATAAAATTAAATGAATATATCGATGCCATAAATTTTATAATTAGCTTTAACTTCATACTAGAGATCTGCACGAGCTACCCGTGCACAGCGGCCGTGGAGTGAAAAATCTTTTACAGGGGCAGCAGCCCGTGCAGATTTCTGCTTCATACGTTTTTAATTTTATGTCCGGATCTACATTTTCTCGGTATCCCATTTGCCGTGGAAAAAGTACCCACTTTTCTAATGGAGAAGTGAACAAGAAAGAAACAGAAACAAGTTCAGAGCTTATTTTCTATGGACTAATCTTTTTGCCATCCCAAAGTTGTTTATCTCAGCTTATCATAATAAGGAAAGAGAGTTGTTTGTATTACTTTACTCATGAATAGAATCTAAAAAAAGTACATAAATATTAGTTTGTTGAGAAAAGCACTCATGACTCATTATATGAAGGAAAATGCATTTTAATGACTCATTATATGAGAAAGATGCATAATAATAATATTATGCACTTGTTATACACTGAAAATGGCCATTAAACGTACGTAGAATATTGCATGATATGTAAATGGTCTCGTTGAATGCACTGTCTATCCACTCACTATGCACGGCGATGCTTTGAAACTTCAGAGAACATACACTAGATTATGCACTTTCGATGTAGCTAACGTATGCTTAAACGCGACATTTCAGTGCATAACATGGAAATGACACAAATACATATACGCATAGCGAATGGCAAATGACTAGACAAAAGTCATTCACTTGTAGTGCATTTTTTTTTATGAAATATGCACATCTCGTTTGCAGTGTAGATAGTGAAATTTACAATAATTGCAGACAGGAGAACAGAAGGCTTAATCTTATGGAAGTAGTGTGCTAATTTCATATATTTCTCAATCTCTCTTTTTCCTTTAGATAACTAAGTACGTGAAATGTTATCTACCATTGAAAATTTACCACCGGAAATATTTTTTCAAATATTTGAATACATTGATGTATTTGACCTTTTTTTTGGCATTTTCTGGCCTAAATTCTCTATTTAATGATTTACTTTATCGTTCAACAAATCTACATTTAAATTTTACACGTAATTGTAATTATCATATATTACCGATATCATTGAATGTTAATCGTCTCCGATCGTTAAAATTATCAAACACATTTTTATTTTCTATTGAGAATTTTTTTCGTCAATATCCATTAGAATCATTTGAACAACTTCGTTCATTTACATTAATGCGACTGCGAATAAAAGATAATATCGATAATATTGTTAAATTAGAACATTTGTCATCATTAATACTGTATTTGGATGATGATAATTCTAATGGACATAAAATTTTTGAACAAGTGTTTAATGGACCGTTATCTTCAAGGTTAAAACGCTTTGAATTGCATCAGTCTTCAATTAATAAAACACCTGTAAAAGTGAGGTGTCAACACGGTCTATCAATTGAACATTTATGTTTTAATACACAGTTTCAATACAACAACAATTTTATACAATTATTATCATTTATGCCACGGATAAAATCAATTACTATCGGTCCATTATGGATTCAACAGAAAGACGATAATATATCACCCGCGATTGACTTTCAAATAATACCAACATCAATTCCAACATTATTTTATTTGAATTTGACTCTATCTTCGGTAAAATTTAGTCATCTTGAAGCATTCTTAAGTAAATATACACCAAATTTAAAATATTTATTAATTAAAACTACAGATAATAACTTTGCAAATGGTGAAAAATGGGAAATTCTATTTCATACATCATTGACAAGATTAAAACATTTTTATTTAGAGATAACATATTCAATATATTATTCAATAGATTCTTTTATTGATATGACAAAATTTCAAACAAACTATTGGTTAGACAGAAATATTGTTATTAATAAGTTAAATAATCAATTTATTGTTAAATTTTAGACAATTTCGTTGACAGATGCTTTTTGAATTAATTTACTTATTGATATGTTAGTATCTCTCGATTTTCATTTCAGAATATTGTAATCTTCGAAAACAGTTGCTAGTGAATTGTATTTTTTTTTGAGAGAAAAATTATTGTCGTTGTTTTATCATCCCTGCGTTAATCTGTTGCAAAAGAAAGTCTATGAAAGCATGATCAAGAATAGAACATCATGAAGTAATAGAATGATGGCATTACTGACTTAACCGGACGAAAATGTGATCTTTTTCATTAAAAACGTTTCGTTTTGTTCAGAAATGATTCTGTATTAATCAGAGAATTACTGTCACGCAAAAAAACGTTTTTTGAAAAAGAAGTTTTCTGACTAAACGTCTTTGAGGGAGATACTTGCCCACTTGGAAGGGGATGGAGAAAAACTAAGGTTTTGTTATAAATTTGTAGAAACTCGTTAGTATCGACTAAAGAGCGAAGGTCATGACCTAAGTCATTCCATTCTTCAATAGTCCTGATTAAAACTGCTCTCTCGATGTGATTGATATGATCTACTGCATGATATCTAGGGCTTGAAACTGTCATGTTAATATCGTGTTTCAAAGGGTTCATCTTGTGAGATAAATAGAAGTCATATTATGCACGATTTTTGTAGATAAATATTAATTCACTGTACTTAATCAGTTGTTTCACAGATGGTATACTCAGTTTCGTTCGTAGCATCAGTATGTCTGTACTGCGGCACGCTCCTGCGATGAGCATGAAGAAAACGATGCATATCAAGAAGAAGATAATGTGTTTCTTGGTATATATAATAGAAGAAAAACGAAAAAGAGATTGAGAGGAAATACTTTTCATCCTCTTAATTTAAAGCTACTTTTATAAAGTCAAGTATTCTAAAAGTATATCACTTCTCACTTCTTCTTATTGTCGATACAGCCATTAACTATTATTTATCTTTTTTCTATTTTGTACGGAGAATCGAGTGAGAACGGCTTCAAGTAAAAAGAAATTTGGCTGTGTTGTGGCCAAAAGTCTCTCTTGAAATTGGGCTAAAAGTACAACAACGTATTGCTAACTGATCTGGGACCTCGTGACCCGGTAGAGGTACTAATCCTCCCTCATAATAGAAGGACAGTCTGGGGCAAAAATGTTTGAAAAGCGGGAGGAATAAGGCAATTTTTTCACCAAAAAAGTGCAATGTGCGAAACCATAATAGTAGGCTATGGTCTTCTATTTTTGATGATTATCCTTCAATAAACGTAGAAATTTTACATCTAGAAAGGACAACATATTACCATTTTTAGATGTAAACGTTATACATTCATTGAAGGATAATCATTTTCATACTACGGTCTATCGGAAGTCCGCCTGTACTGGTCTTATAATAAGATGGTCTTTTGGGGAAAATCCAGTTTTCCCAACTAAGGTTTTTCAGAAAACCTTACAAAATCCGGTTTTGGCAGAAAACACTAGTTTGAAGCGGATTTCTGTTCCATAGGTGTTCCAAAGATGAGATAGGGGCTAAAAATTTTCCGAAAAATTGAAAATGGTTTTTCCAAGGTGTCATATACCTCATTCGACGCAGAATTTCACACTGATTCTGAATATATAACTCTTGTTCAGAAATATCAAGGAAAAATTTTGAGCTTTATAAGCTCCCATCCTTTATCTGAAATTGGTCATATCCATGAGATGGGATACGCCCGATGTTAGTCTCAACGTTATAAGTTTTTCAAAATTTTGCTCTTATCGTGGGCACCTGTAAATTCGATACCTACACTGAGAAACAATCAAAAAACGTTCTATCCTTAAAACTTGACAATCTCTGCGATAAAATGCAGAGACAGAGGGGAAATTCTATGAAACAGACCGCGCGGTTACATCAGTATCAAAGATCCAAAAAATGTTTATATATATATTTATCTCTCTTCAGACAGCCTATGTCTCTCGGCAGATTTCGTGTGTATATGTGTGATGGCTAGCAAGACATGTTTTCAGTGGATAAAAAAAGGGAAGGTGTGTATTTTATTAATCTGTGAGACTTTTGTTTTTGTTGGGAAAGTTAGGTGATTTTCCCTACATAGGCATTGGATTTTAGTAGATGAAGCATGTAAGAGAAATCCATACATTTACAGTTCAGCATTACGTTCAAGCATCATTATAGAACGAACAGAATCGATAAAAAAGACGGCACTGAGCAAAGTGAACACAACGATATTGTTCTTGTAAGAAAGAGAAAAATCCATAGAATTATTCAAACAGGGACGCTTGAATGATTCGCCCGGGGGCATCTTATTTTTAACGTGTTCGTAAACTTCTGTTTGTTATGTACTGTCGCTACACAAACGCTCTTCGTGTGCTATGCTTCAGTGATCCACTAAAACAATCCGTCACTGGGCACATGTATGCACGTCTCGTTGAAGCACACCTGACTATTTTGTTTCGTCAGACAAGCAAATATTATGGTTGATGACGACAACAGTTTGTTTATGGATGCACTGAAAGGCAAAGCTTCCGATATCTTTTTATTGTACAATCAGAGGGTTGAGTACAAAGGGGAAACCCATTGGAACTTTTGGAAAGAATTAGAAATTAATGCGAGCTAATTTAAAAAAGTTTCATATTAAATTAGTGTGCGTTAATCTTTTCTGATTAAAAATCAATTCAAATTAATTTAACTTGATAAATTAATTTGAACTGGTTAAAATTCAATTGATTTGAATTAATTTATCAAGTTAAATTAATTTGAATTGATTTTTAATCAGAAAAGATTAATGTGCGCTAATGAGACTCTTTAAATTAGTTCGCATTAACTTTTAATTATTTCCAAAAGTTTCAATGGGAACAGCTGTTTTTTGATTGCGGTTGATTACCGTTGACAGAGATGGGCAAGTCACGTTAACAATGACTTAAGTCAAGTCAAGTCATTTTTGACTTGATGCTGCAAAACGAATCCAGTGGTTTATCAGATAAATATAAATGAAATATTTCTAATTTTTGTGAATTTTTTGACTTTTGGCTAATCTAATAAATTGTCAATATTTTTCATATAAAATATTCATGTATGCCCTGATGAATTCTAATGAACGAAGTACGATATGTTGTGCTGGTTGATAACTGTTTATATCACTGAATCGATTTAATTCTTGCTGAAAGATGTGTTACTGTTGTACTCTTGTTACTAGCGGCATACAATTCTTGTGAGAATTGATATTGTTGGTTTATTCCGAACCGAAATCCAATTATTGTAATATTGGATTGACAATAATCTGGCTATGAACCAATTATTATATTTTATATCTTTATTTGTAATCAAACTAACTTTAATAATATATCATATAATCCTACAGAGATAAAACACATTCGTTTTAAAACCACTCGGGAATAACCCAGAGTGAAAAGCAAACGAAACTGAGAAAGCCAGGAAAGAAGAATGTTCGAAGAAGGTTGAGTATATTCTTGAAAGATACGACATCTGTGAAAGAAGGAAAAGAATGTATGGCAATCTATATGATAACTGTACTTATGAGAGGACTAATAATCCTAACATAACACTTCTCATTCCCAAAAATTGAAATGGAAACGATTTCCAAGTCTATATCAAATATTCTCAGTTCACAACGTGTGTCTTCAGACATATCTAAAGTTGCACTGAGAGAAGCAATAATCACTTTGTCATCCGTTGTTTTGTTATTCCACCATCATTTATTTTTCTCCTTCTCTGCATATGCAAACTACGCAATATAGATTCAATTATTAACGTTCTTTTGAATTCAATTTTGATCATTATTAACGAAGCCATAAATTCTTCACTCGGATAATTAATCTTTCCCTTCTCTCATCATCTCTCTGCTCCGTTGCCATGCTAAAGAGAATGCATGTAGTTATTTTCTGAAATATATGCAAGAAACGATGAGTGACGAAAAGACACGATTCTATTAGATATACCATTGCTAAGATAGGAAAGTCAAAAGGTACACGTGAAGAGGGACACTCTGCGCAGCTGTCCCCTGTCGGTTATCAGAAAATTCGAAAAAAGAAAACGTTCTTCTAATTCACCTGTTTTTTCTGGTTAAAGGCAGCGTTGATAAATTACTTAATCTGTAATTTTTAGGAAGAAGAATGAGAACATCTTGTCCATTTCTCGCATCGGAACAGTTACCGTTCCTTAGCGTTCTGCTCCTGTAGATGATAACAAACAATGAGAGAGCATCAATATTCAAAACGGCTGAAAACGAAACGAAAGAAAACGTAGTAATGAATGACAGAGTGCCCCTCAGCTTTATAGGCTTTTTTATGCCAGATGGCAGTCTTATTCTGGGAAAAGTTAACAGAAACCCTCAGATTGACTTTGTTCTGGCGTCATTTTGCCTCAAGACATCGTCGCAGCCAGCCCACACGAACACACACGAAACAATATCTTTTGCACATAGTTTTATCAATGTTTCGCCAATGGTCTGTGCGTCTCCGGCAAGTGATATGCGATAGCTCACTCTGTAAGACGTCTCTGTCGCATTTTCATTGTCGGTTTTAAATTTTTTTGTCATGTAAAGTCAAATTTTCGTTTAAAGTAAGCAATTGATTTGTCTTTATATTCCGAATGATTTACTTCAAAATGACGACGTAATTTAGCAGGTGCTAAAGAACTATTTGCTAATATTTTGCTACAAAGTAGACACTGGGCGTCAGGAAAAGCTTCATTCCCAACGCTTGTGAATCCCAATGATAAATAGCTGATATCGTATTTGCGTTTCTTAGTATTAGAAGAAGATTGACTGAAACCTGCAATTTCTCGCTTTTTCTTCGATTTGTCACTTGTTTCCAAACATTCAGAAGTGGGAGGTACTGTCTTTTTAGATGTGGCTTCTTTATTTACCACGATATCTTCTTTGGTACCTTCTTTAGACGTCGAAGAATCTGAAGTTATTGTTGTTGTTTTTAAAGTTGCTCCTTTTAACCAATTGTCCAAATTCATGGTGAACTAGAATATCAATAAAATTAAAAATTTTAAATTTGTGACCGTTTTCACGAACTCAGATATAAGTTACAGAGAATGTTAAATGTACCAAACAAGTTTATATGATGATATAAATCTGTATTATGTATAGTATACATAATACAGATTTACCAATGTTACAGTCTTTATTAAAAATTCGTCATAACTATCAGATACTGAGATTAATTGAATATGAAATTGTAGGCACTGGAACAATCCTATTTACAAAAGATGATTTTATTATTATATTGACAGCATTTCATGTTATTACACCTCAATATTTATTACCATTAAATCAGTTATTAATTATATTTACAGCTGTTGTTATATCGGTAATAATGGTAACAATAACAACGTTGAAATATGTGAATTTTCAAATTAATTACTTTTATGTTGTGTTATTTGGTCTATTATATCCATTAATAGGTTGTCTATTATTGTATCTTCTAATAGCAATTTTCTTTCCACTACTTTCAAGTTCGTCATTTAAATTAGAGTTAGTTAACGATACTTGACAAGGTTCTATTTCAACATTGGAATGCCAAGTTAGACTCAATCGAGAAAATGGAGAGTGCCCATTTAGAATCTTGAAAAATACTAGAAGGCGAAAATATTTCCTTTGTATCTCTAATGGAGGTAACCTGCGACCGTATACCAGACCTTTCCCCGATGTATCAAAATCCCGTGTAATTATGTGTGCCGCAAGATTTTGTACAAATTCAAGTGAATTCTGGAATACCTCGAACTTGTTATCGTACAATGCATAGGCGTAATCGAGCTTGCTCAAAACACATATCTTGAAAATATCGTAATGAAACACGAGCTTCTTTAAATTGGCGGTACGTAGCACATAGGCGTTGCCTGTAGGTTTTAGCCAGGTCGTCTATATGTGCTCGCCACCTAAAGTTATAGTTGATTTTTAAACCTAGAAGGATTAGATTTTGTCCGCGTTGAAATCGTTATATTTTCGTCTTCTACTATTTTTCAAGATTCTAGATGGGCACTCCCCACTTTCTCGTTGAGTCTAATTCGGTTAGATGTAGCAAGAAAATCAAACAGGTTAGCACAACACTCAGGACAGGTAGAAGTTCTTTTTGCTCGGACGGAGACTGCTTTATAATCTTTTTTCAAACTCTATCAGAAGCAGTTATCTCATCTACCACTATTAAAAGTTTTCAAATAAAATTAAGGCAACATCTCCAACTATGAAAATGGTAGCAAGGTTTACATGTGCATCGCACTTTTTTTGCTTTCTCGGTAACCGGTTTTTGATGTAAATTAAAGGTTTCTGTTTTTATTGTATGCTTATCTGTGTTCACATGTTCAAACTGTCAGTCTTGTTGTTGTCAAAATAAAAATCAATCAATCAATTAATCAAAATCTATCGTACTGGCAGGAATCCAGATAATCTTTCGTGAAAGACTCTATTTATTAATGGTGATTTTTGAAATGATAGTTTGATCTTGCAACGTCCACTGACCAGGGTTTTCGTGGGATGATTAATCGTGGTAAATCGAAGCGCATTGGAAAACAAATTCAAGAAACTGCAACGATCCATACCGTCAGTCCACTTACCAAAAGTGGATATCCAGAATGGAGAATATCTTTTAACAATATATTTATAATAATTAACAATTTCATTTTGTAGTTTTACCAATGTTTGTAAACAAGCTAATACGAATAGACGACTGTTATCTTTTAACTTATTCAGTAAAAGAAATGATAATTTTGTCTATTGTAAATCATATTTATTTTGGTTGAAACATTTATTTATGACAATCAAATCGTACTTCATCCAAATCTATTTTATATCATGCATATAAGAAATTTTCATACAATCGTAACATCATTTTATCATTCTGATTTTTTATAAGAAATGTCTCAATTGTTGTTTCTAATGCATCCATACGTTTAATACGATGATAATATTTATAAATTAAATAATTGATAAAATCAACCAAATAATGAAAGTATTGTATATTTTTAAATTCATCTAAACGAGTCATTATAAATATTGTTATTGGATAGAGTTTTTTTAGCGTACGGTAATGCTTGAATTTTTAAACGAAATTCATTAAATGGATGGCTTTTCATTAAACTGGTTGTATTAAAATAATTTAAATACGAATATCTTTGCTAATTTGAGGGTGAGGGTGGTGAGGGTGGGTGAGGGTGGTGAGGGTGAGGGTGGAACTACAAGCCAAATGGTGTCACACTTTCACGTGTAACACGTAGTCTTGTTTCGGTCTCTATAAAAAGAAGAACAAAAGCAAACAGATATCGATGCCATTTGCTGTAGTTGTCGATAACAGGTAAATAGACAGACAGTCCTTTTCATAACAAAGTTACTTACGATACCATGTATCAATTCCACTTAGGGAAACTACCACATTCGGAGTGAAATCGAATGGATGCGGGAAACTGACATAATGAACGACATTTCTTGCTCGACACGTAACAGGATTACCGCCACAACCACCCATGTGAATTGGACCACCTACTTGACCTAAAATCCGTTCATATTTAGACAGAGATTTCAAAAGAACCTTTTTACTTACACTGGCCAGCACTACAAACCGTTCCAAAAGTTAACGTTGTTAGCAGGATCCAGCATAGCGATGAGCAATGCATATTTGATGATGCAGCAAGAGTAGATGAAGAAATTTTTCTGTTGTCCAGCAAGAGGAAAGACCGATATAGATGTTTAAAAGAAGTAAAAAAAGAATATAAGACTTTTACTGATTTCTATTTTCGTTTTCATACGCAGAAAGTCATCGACTATAATTAAGTGCATATTTATTCAAACTTTTGTAAATCAGAAAAGCTTAATATTTACAAGTCACTAAGATGAAAAGCCTATAAATATTGCCTGTTGAATGCTTTGTGCGCTCAGTATTAGAATATAGCTTATATGCAAATACCTAGATTGATGTTTTTTGACAAAAAAATGAATCTCTGTTATCAACTTAAAGGAAAAATCAGCAAGATCCAGCAACTTTTCAAATTCGGCAGTTACTTGTCTTTGTTAGTATCGTAGGTATATGTACTGCGTTAGATAATCACAGAAAGTGAAGTTACACTGTAAAAAATAAAGTGGGCACGGGCATACTGAATGTGCACATTTCGCTGGACTGTTTTTGCATACTGAAAACGGCTTCTTCAGTATGCCTGTACATACTAGAATTTTACATATAGCTTCCACAGACTTAACGAGAAAAAAGACTGACGAGAATAATAATCCTTCCGTTTTTTTTCCATAGAGAAACGCAAAAAGATACAAATTCAGATTACACAGTGACATGTTGCACATCACTTTGGGATTGAAATCAAGGGGGGGGAAACCTCACTTTAAGTGCGTGTACCTCCAAGGTAAGCGTCACTTTAAGTGCCTGAGTTCT